TGCCCACACCTAAGATTAGCTAACAAATGAGAGTAACTCCCATAAAGCCAGGACCTTGTTGCTACTGAGACATGATTCATTTAGGGAAATGTCGTTTATGTCAACAAACTGTCGCCATCTCTGCTAGAGGATGGGATCTGATCTATCATCATTCCTCTAAACTTGTGTATTTGGTGCAGAAGGTGGTTTTGTAAGGGTCACCCTGATGTCACTTCCATGCTTTTGAAAGGGATATTGAAGGGCCAGTGGTTTTATCCACATAGACTAAAGAACAAGCTAATTTCAAGATGTAGATGCAGTAGTAACTGTTGCAATTAAAGTATTCACGTATGAAATATTTATGACCCGAATGAGGGTGAGAGATAATTATTCTGATTAACAATGAAAGAGAACCATGGTTTAAAAAACATTTGAGCATTCATCTGTTTGTTTTTCCTTTGTATCTCATTTGTCTATAAGCATGACCTTGTAAAGGATATAGAGGAGAACCTGTTCGTAATATGCATTTTTGGCAGCTAGGATACATATGTGCTCAATTTACCTGAGTGGGTTTGTAGGTGTCAGGGTCTCCTTTATTATCTGCATGGATTAGGGTGGTGATTGGTTATAGTCAGGGTTTGAAAAATCCACTCGTCCACTCGTCTGTGACGAGCAGACAGTGGAGCCCGACGAGCAGCTTCCCGGCCGGCCGTTGTAATTACACAGCCGGCCGGGAGCTTAACACAGTCAAGCGATCGAGCGTCTCTATAGACGCTCAGTTCTTTTGTAACCAGAAATTGTAGACACAAAGGTATATGTTTGTTGGTTGCCACACAGTTTGAATGTTAGGGCATAACCATAGGAGGTGGTTTAAATCTGTTTTTTCTAAGTTATAGTTGAGACATGTGTTGAGGAGAGAAGTTTGAGTTTCAACTTTGATGAAGTATTAAAGGCAATATAAGCTCTATAGATAATTTTATATTGCATTTCTCAAGTGTGTTGAGGATTGAGTTCTGGGTTTCACTTAGAAAGTTGTAATCTCATGATATTGAGGGGTCCATTCACAAAGTTGCCGAAGGCAGCCGTGTGAATAACCGACCTGAAGTGAAGTGAGCCGAACGCATATGCCATTCGGCCAACTTCGAAAGCTTACGGGCTATAGTGAATAGCCCATACAGCAGCCCTTTGTTTCTACTGAACCGAAGGGGTCCTGGGGCTGAAGCTAGCCGAAGGATCAGCCGAAGCTACGTCTAGATGCTTCAGCAGCTTTGTGAATAGACCCCTGAGTGTTTTTTTGTGTGGGGTGGAGAAACGTACAGTATGTAAACTATTGTGAAAACGAAATAAATTAAATTAGCATGTTGATGAGGTAGAAAGGAGAACCAGGGAAGGCAAAATGTAAGCAGATTATACTTAATTTTTAAGTGCTGCAATATATTTCTTTATTGGAAGGTCATAGTTCTGCTTTAACCTTAAGATTAAATGAGAGCCATGAGCTTTAAGATTTTCAAAATTAAGATTTCCATAGCAATAAGGGTATAGAGCACCCTTTCAAATGTTATTGCTGTCTGCAGCCCCGTTGGAGATTTTTCCCTTCACGTTTCGTCCCAGTAAAACATTGTCATTGGGACAGGTATGAGATAACATCTCCAACAGACATCCACACACAACAAATAGATGATGGAGGTCCCAGCTTTGTTTCAGTTGGTTAAAAATTTGGTTTTCTTACTGTTCTGTCCCTGTTGGAGAGATTCTTTCTCACTTCCGGTCCCAGAGTACAACTCTGCCACTGATATAGGAAGTGACATGAGTTTGCCAATCAACCTACAGACAGCAATATACAATCTTATATTATGTTTTGGAGAAGCACTGGAATTCTAGATGTCATTGTAGTCTTAGTTGGTCTAGTGCATGTGAATCCTAATCTCAAGGGAGCCGCCGAGTTGATTCTTCTAAAGCATAAAAAAAGGTAACGTATGAGAGCACCAGTCCACCAGTCCAGAGTACATTTTATTATTTGTTGCATTTAGTAAAAAAAAAGTCCAACATATTTTGAGGCTTCAGTGTTCCCCCTTTATTAGTGATGGAATGCTATAGGGATGGAATATGAAATTAAAAGATAAGTGCATAGTGCAAGGAATTTGAAGGGCTGAGAGTATTTGCTCCGCCTCTCCATTTCACTGCTGCCAAAGTAAGACCTGGAAGAGATTCTCTTAGCCTTTCGAATTCCTTACTGCACAAAAATCTTTTAGTTCCAGATTTAAGTTCTATTGCATTTTAGCCCTGATGAAGGATTCGGCTCCCCGAAACCCTGAAATGCGTTGTTGATTTTACCAAATGTAGCAAATAAAACATTTATTCGGGACACATATAAGTGGACTGGCGTTCTCATCCTTTACCCTCTTTCTAAGCAATAAAATTTCACCAGAGGTTCTGACATTTCCCCCCCTCTATTCAAGAACTAAAAATGAAACATGGCCAGAGTTTCATTTAAATGAAATCCTAATTCAACATGAAGACTGCACAGTATAGCTCTGGGGTCAGTAATATTTTATTTGAAAGTCTTGCTACTTTTCACATTTTATATTAGGCAAATGTTTAAAACCTAATTTGACTGTGTATGACCTAATCTTGTAAAGAGATTTATCTAAGAGCAGGATACACTTAATGAGATTAAAATGCATTGCAAAGTAAATTACAGGTCAGGTCAGAAGCATGCTGTATAGCTAAGCACCCCTCCACTGAAAATATTCTTTATAATATGCATATTTTTTTCTTTCTTTTCTTTCTTCATCAGAATTTGCGTATTATAGTTTGCTGTAATAAATGGCATTGATCTGTTCTAGTAAACATTAGGTAATGTGAGTTCCTTGACCACCAGGAAATGGTAGCAAATACACAAACAGTTTGCCAATAACATCATGTCTGAATTTTTATTAAACATTTAAAGTGGAACTCCAGCCACCAGGGCGGGAAATGGGGGCATTACCCCAGTGGGAGCACAGACAGCATTAAAAGCCTGACACAGGTACGGACCCTTACCCACTCTAATAGACAAAAGTTATTTGTCAGTCACTGTCTGTGTCCCTTCTGCAAAGCTTTCCCCTCACATTGACATAAAAGAAAATGCGGTTAAAGCTGAACTCCAGACAATCAGCTAAATACACAGATGAAATAAACATAGCGGAGCTGTCTTACCTGTGAAAGGATTGGTAATCCTGTCCATCCAGTACTGAGATTTATCCTGTCCAACCAGTTCTTAGATATACACAGGTCTGCCATACAGCACAGCCCGGTCTGTCAGGGAACCTGATTTTGTTCTCTCCTAAAGTTAAGTATCACAGGTCTTGTCCCTAAATCAGCCTGTGACTGCACAGTACAAGGGAAGAGGCACGATGATGAACTCATCTATCTGGCACTTTGTTCTCTACTCATATCAGCACATCCCTTGTTAGCACATGAGCACTGCAGCATGTCCGACTGGCTACTGGTGTTGATTCTCCCTCTGACAGCCTGATCCCTGCTGTACAAAAGATTAATTGATACCAAATAATTTTCAGGTACTTACCCTGCTTGCACTTAAAAAAACTAAATTTGAGGATGTATGAATAAATACAAGTTTTTTATATCCACCTGGAGTTCATCTTGTGAACAGGGACACATATATCTAAAAAAAGAAAAATCTATCCAGAACAAAAACATTTTTTTGGTTTGGGTTAAGCACCATTTATCTGGACTTAAATCTGAGATAATGATGTGTTACGTTTCTTTTTGTTTTGTCAGTAGACATTTTGCTTGCACACAGCCAGTAGTTTTCCTTTTCACCCTAGTCAACTTCCTGGCAGGCAACCTAACGCTTTCATTTTCCAAAAGTGCCACTTCCTAATGTCACATCAGTTTGAAGAGGAATACAAAAATGTGCACTGAATGTGTTTTACATCAGGAGCCCTTGGGTAGTAGCCAGAGATTTGAGTCAGCAAACCATATTGTTTTGTTTATGTCTTCAGTCTGACCAAACTGCGACAGTGTATTGCTAATGTGTGTACATTTCCAACATTAAAGAGCCACTAAATAAAAACACAACTTTCTTTACAATAAAGGCTCTCTATATAATGCGTAGAATTAATATATCAGGGAGAGCTCCTATGCATAGACAGTGCTAGAGACATTTCAACTGGTATCAGTTATGCAGCTAAGAGTAACTTAGCTTGCTATGCAGCTAAGAGTAACTTATTGTTGGGTAAAGGTTAATGAGAGGTACAGTAATAGTCTTTAATGATTACTAATATCTCTCCAACAATCATCACAGTTTTTTTCATATATCTTCGGTATTGATAATACTTACAAAATGTAACTATAACTATATTTTTTAATTAAAAAAATGTTCTTTGGCCATCATTCAGAATCAAAGTATAGCAAACTCTCTGTTATCCGGTATTCAGCTAACCGGAACTCCCATCTAACCCGCAAAAAAAGTCCCTGTGTACTCACTGTTATGCCAATCTGCCACCTTCTGGGAGAGGGAGAGCGGGCTCAGGAGCATGGAAAGGTACAGGAACGGACCGAAAAGTGCTGGATTATCCTGTGAATGAGTGTCTGAACGACCTCTGAAAAATGCTGTTATCCTGGAACACGGGTGTCTGATCGATCGTTTGTGAAAGTGCTATGTTACCCTGTAAACAAGCGCCACCTAGTGATCACTCCCAGTATTGCAATGTATTGCTAATGGTTTAGTACAATATACTGTTATGGTATATTATGGGGTAAAGCATTAGTTAAACCCAATTTTAATAGTAACTCTCAGGCAACCAGAAACAACATTTATACAGAATCACCAATCACTGTGGATGCCGGATAACGGAGAGTTTACTGTATATGTAATGCTCTTGCTACTAGCCAGCTGTTTCTTTGTTTGCTTTTGTTTTTATTCTTTCGGTAAAGTAGAATGTATTGTTATTGACTTAGTTTTGATTATTTGTTAACCGATTAATAATTTATGTTACTATTGTGCTGTTTTTCAGGCAAAGATGAGCCCAGCAGCTATACATGTACAACATGTAAACAGCCATTCTCCAGTGCATGGTTTCTTCTGCAACATGCACAGAACACTCATGGCTTCAGAATCTATCTGGAAAGTGAACATGGCAGTCCACTTACACCCCGGGTAGGCATTCCATCAGGACTGGGTGCAGAATGTCCCTCACAGCCACCACTCCATGGAATTCATATTGCTGACAATAATCCCTTTAACTTATTGAGAATCCCCGGATCAGTATCAAGAGAGGCGTCTGGTCTTAATGAGGGTCGATTCCCACCAACTCCCCCATTATTTAGCCCACCGCCAAGGCATCACTTGGATCCTCACCGCATAGAACGTCTGGGTGCAGAAGAAATGGCTCTCGCTACACATCACCCGAGTGCCTTTGACAGGGTGCTGCGACTTAACCCCCTGGCTATGGACCCACCAGCTATGGATTTTTCGCGGAGACTTAGAGAGTTAGCTGGGAACAATTCTAGTTCCAGTCCACCTTTGTCTCCAAATCGGCCCAGCCCTATGCAAAGGTTACTGCAGCCATTCCAATCTAACAACAAACCACCATTTTTGGCAACTCCACCCCTCCCTCCTCTTCAGTCTGTACCTCCTCCTTCTCAGCCTCCTATGAAATCAAAGTCCTGTGAGTTTTGTGGGAAGACATTTAAATTTCAGAGCAATCTTGTAGTACACCGTAGAAGTCACACTGGAGAAAAACCCTATAAGTGCAACCTTTGTGACCATGCATGTACACAAGCCAGCAAACTCAAACGCCACATGAAAACACACATGCATAAATCGTCCCCAATGACAGTTAAATCAGATGATGGTTTGTCTACTGCCAGTTCTCCCGAGCCCGGAACCAGTGACTTAGTTGGCAGTGCAAGCAGTGCCCTCAAGTCTGTAGTAGCTAAGTTTAAAAGTGAAAATGACCTGATCCCGGAGAATGGCGACGAGGAAGAGGAGGAGGAAGAAGAAGAAGAAGAGGAAGAGGAGGAGGAAGAGGAGGAGGAGGAGGATTTGACAGAAACAGACAGCCGGCCAGATTATAGTTTTGCCCTAAATCTTGAAGCTGCTCGTCACCATGAAAACAACTCTAGAACTGGCGAGGAAAGTCGATCTATGCCTGATGTCATGCAAGGTGTTGGCCTTGGTGCAATGCATCACTTTAGTGATACTTTTCATCAGGCATTGGTTGAGAAACATAAAAGAGGGCATTTATCTGAGCCAGAAGCTCAAAGAGACACTTGTGATGAAGACTCAGTGGCTGGAGAATCAGATCGTATAGATGGTGGTACTGTTAATGGGAGGGGTTGTTCGCCTGGTGAATCTGCCCCAGGAGGCTTGTCAAAGAAATTGCTTCTTGGTAGCCCCAGCTCTATGAGCCCTTTTTCTAAACGCATCAAACTTGAGAAGGAATTTGATCTCCCTGTTGCAGCTATGCCTAATACAGAAAATGTTTACTCCCAGTGGCTCGCTGGCTATGCCGCATCTAGGCAGCTAAAAGATCCATTCCTCAATTTTGGAGACTCTAGACAATCGCCTTTTGCCTCTTCCTCAGAGCACTCATCTGAAAATGGTAGCTTACGTTTCTCTACACCTCCAGGAGAGACGGATGGGGGAATTTCAGGCCGTAGTGGCACAGGAAGTGGAGGAAGCACTCCCCATATTAGTGGCCCAGGGCCCGGAAGGCCCAGTTCTAAAGAGGGCAGGCGCAGTGATACTTGTGAGTACTGTGGAAAAATCTTCAAGAACTGTAGTAACCTCACTGTTCACAGGAGAAGCCACACTGGTGAACGACCTTATAAGTGTGAGCTTTGCAACTACGCCTGCGCGCAGAGTAGCAAACTTACCCGGCATATGAAAACACATGGTCAGGTGGGAAAGGACGTTTACAAATGTGAAATTTGTCAGATGCCTTTTAGCGTGTACAGTACCCTGGAGAAACACATGAAAAAATGGCACAGTGATCGAGTCTTGAATAATGATATAAAAACTGAATAGAGGTATATCAATAAACCCCATGTAGATTTTTTTTTTCTAGAACTTTGTGATAAAAAATAAATAAAATAAATAAATAATGAAACCCAAGGATACAAGAATGTGCTTAACACTAGCACACCTGATTTTTTTTTTATAATTTTCCTTTTTTTTATATTTCGTTCTCACCGTTTGAACGCATGTTCTTTATTGGGGGCAATACTATTGCATTTTACGCAAACTTTGAGCCTTTCTCTTGTGCAATAATTTACATGTTGTGTATGTTGTTTTTTTTATTTTTTATTATTTTTTTTAATAGAAGCATGTATGGTGTGTTTATAGCTACTTTCAATTGTCCCTGAATTAGTTGCAAAACATACATTGCTGTTTCCAGTTCCGTTCTGACAAGTAACCACATTGCGTACATTTTGCAATACATATCATGTACAGCTTTGTTTTCCAATGTGCAGAGGGAGCATCTTTTTTTGACAAACCTCCAGGGACAGGAATTATAGCGCTGCAAATGCTGGCAGAACCTCATTTCCTCATGCCAGGGGTTACCTGTAGTGTTTAGAGAATGAAAGGAAAAAAGAAAAGAAAAATTATAAATTAAAAAAAATAAAACCGCCTTTGGTAATATTAATTTGCTCTATCACTTGGTTAAATCAAAACATATCTGAGTGCCTTCGGTCTATTTGAAACCATTTAAATGGTTCATACTATGTTGAAATGACAGTGTAGCTTAATTCAACATGGATATGTGTAGGTCTCCATTGATCTAGTGTATAATTATAAAATATTGTATTTCTTTAACTGAGGCTACCTAAAATATGACCTAGTACATCCTAGTTAATCATCATTCTTCCATTATATTTATTTAATGATATGTAAGCTAGTTGTTCATGCTGTCAGCTTTGAAGGAATTTGAGTCTCCTTTTTTCAATGTTACCTAATGTTTCTGTTAATAAACTTTGAATTAAAGCTGAACTAGAATATAATGGCAAGGAGTTTCATTTTGTTGACTCTTTGTGAGTACCTTGGAAAAAAAGGAGAAAAAAAAAATCAGAGTAAATTATTATTAATATATGTGGTTGTCTGACTGACAATCATTAATAGTGTTCTCAAATTCTGCACTGTATGGAAAGTTAGCTAATAATTATATGCTATCAAGTGGCACAATAGAGATATGGACACAAAGTGGTACCTTTTTATTTGAAAAGAAACAGGCATATAAGCTAGATAAAATGATGATTAACTATGAATTCCTAAGGCTTGCCTTGAAAATACCCCTTAAAGTAAATGAAAAAATAGAAAAAGTGAAACACAATTTAAAATAAGACTGCTATATGACATTATATCTTCACTCCTGAAAATGTTTTATCTTCACTCCTGAATTTTCTTTTTGTTTCTGTTTTTTTGCTTTGCACTGTGTTATCATTATTAAGGATACATAGATACATTGCTTCAATGTTTCAATATTAAGCTACTATCTGCCCCAACTGGTGTTCAAATAGCACTTGACTCTTCCAGAAAAATGTGTACCTTTTTTTTTCTTCTTAATCAGAGGTACTGTGGTTGAGTATAAAGAATGCTCAGATACAATTGAATGCACTGTACGAATTTCCCTGTTTACAGGCTTACACATAAGGGAAATGTTTTAACTATATATAAATATATATAAATAACAGGGGTATTTGGTGTACAGAAGCAGTTTTAATAAAAATGTGGATTTATTTTCATTTTGTTAAGAAAGCATCACTTTTGTTAGGGTGACTGTATTTTAGGGCTTCATTGTTTAGTAGAAGACTTATTCATTGCAAATAAAATGGTAGAGGAATTTCTATGCCTTGGATATCTCCCGAATCTGATCCTTTCAGGTTGTATAAAAAAATGTGCATTGGGGAGGGGAAAGTTCCTTATTATATATTACTTAAATATAGGGAAAATGCACACTTATGTTGATTCCTATGCTAAAACACGTCTATTGTCTCTCTTTTTTTCCCTGTATTTTTAGAATGGTATTTGAATTTAAATGTTTGGCTAGTGTAGGAACTATAGTATTTATATCGAAGCTTGTATTTTTAACAGTTGCTTGTTCTTTTTTGAAAAGGTATCCAGGTACCTTTTTTATGGTAGTGGAATAAAAACACAGGCTGCCACTATATATATATATATATTTTATTTTGGCAGGATAATATAGTACAAATTATTTGTACATTTCAAAACAAGAAAATAAAAAAAATCAAACAATACATTGTACAGTACAGAAGCCATATGATGGCTGCCTTGGAATATCAATTAAACTGTCATGCAGAGGAGCCGTCTTACAGAGGGCTGTACATATCTTTATTTTGTTCTTTTCTGTGGCTGCCATACTGTATACAGTACCGCAAGCTGATGCATTGGTTTGTTCTACAGTGTGCTTTCTGTCCCCCTTTTTTCACCCTACATTCCAGCATCAAATCGTCATATGCAGTAAAAGAAACACACATTTAAAATTTTATTTACATTGCCAAAAAACAAAATGGTGCTTTATATTTAGATTGGAAAAAAAACTATATGCAAAGCATATTAAGGTAGAAGATCACTTAAAGTCAATACTTTTTTTTTGTAAATGGCAATGCAGAATATTTTGTTATTGGCCTTTTCTATTCATGTAATTAAAGCTGTTTGTCGTAACTTGAAATTTTATCTTTTACTATGGGAGTCACTATTTATTATTGCGTATGTGCTTTTGTTTAAAACTAAGGCACATATATTGGTCTTTTTAAAAACTTTCTTATTTTTTTATTTTATTTTGATGACCAAAGGTCATGCAAACCTGGCTTTTATTGTATTTGTTTCTGGTCTGTTAATTTCTATTGGATAAACCACTGTCTGTGTTTTTTTGGCAGTTGTCTGCATTATCCTGTTCATATACCCATTTTGTCCCTTTTTATTGAAAAATAAAAAAAGAATAAACTACACAGCATAAGCCTCTTGTGACCTTATTTGAAAACTTACGTAGTTGACATGGTTCAAATATAAGAGAAAATATATTATAAACTCCTTATTTTTATAGTACACATTTTGAAATATCCAACCTTAGATGCTTAAAAAATAAAACAAGCATTTACGCTATGTATAATGTCTTTTATAACCCTGATATTAGTCATTTATAACAATTGGGTATGGTTCTTAAAAAGAATCTTTTACATTAAGATTCATGTATAAAGAGCACACATTGTATGATTTACTCCCGATAAGAACTTTGTCAAGGTCTACAAAAATTTATTAAAGCAATAAAAAACATTTTGAAGAAAAAAGTCAGGCTTCAATATAAAATATTATGTAAATAAAGCATAAAATACAATATGCAGAGACTATAAAGACTACCACCACATCAGTCCACATTTCACCAGCTTCACAGCTTCACTTTTATTTTGGTTTCATATCTGTTAAAACTATAAATTCAAAATTGTGTGTGTATACATTACATTCAAATTTCAAATTCAGTCAGTTTATGTTCCTCCTTCAAGCCCCATATTTGTTCTCCATTTTACAAACCATGCATGCATTACCATCTGTATGGCTTTTAGTCATATACTCTATATAGCATTTTGAGTTTTTTGGGGGCCTTTGTAAACAAAAGTTTCTCTGATTAAAATAATACTCTTTTGTATGCATAATGGTTTGTAACCTTTTTTATTCCCCTTGTCTTTATGGCAGTGCATTTTTATTTACTAAGAGTGTGATTTGTATCCCTTTTTTCTAGGGGGAAAAAACAGCATCATTAAATCTAAGGACAGAACAATCAAATTTATATGGCAAGAAGTCTGAAAAGATATGCAAAAGTGTTAACAAATATGCATACCAATATGGGCAGAAATAAATAACACCTAGCTTTTGGAGGAGAAGAAGAAGAGAGAAGACCAACATGCTGATATGAAAAGGCCAACCTATTGTAAATGAAAAAAAACAAAAAACTTCAAGTAGACCTCTGTATTAAACTTTTAGTTGAATAATTTTGGCCACTACACTGGACAGGGATGCTTTAATGTACATTGCTTTCCTGTATCAACATGATGTAGACTCTATTGCTATATACCCATTCACTAATCATGTTTCCAGGAATGATCTTTTATCAATGACTTAATGTAGGAGGTCACTGTTATAGCAAATAATTTTAAAATGTTATTACAGTCTCCTGAAGACATACATTTGATCCCCAAAGGCACCTTATTAACTAATTTGTACCGTAAATGTTAAAAAAAAATCAGTCAGATGCCCATTTGTAGGAACACAAAAAGTGGTGAGAAGTATAAAATTACTATTTTGGCTTTCAGTTGGACTGATAGGGAGAAAACCTATTAAAAAAATCACTCGGTTAGGCAGTATTTTTGCAGTTCCTTTGTCTATTTATGACTTCTTGATACCCGTATTTAAGAGATAATATACAGTACTGCCTCGGTAACTGGGGCTTTAAAAACTAGTCAACAAGAACATAACTTACAAATGACATGTTGTACTCTAAAGGAAAAAAATAGTAATACAAAGTGTGACATTTTCTAACTGTGTGATAAATTAATGGTGTTATAAAAACCATGAACCATTGAGGCCTTTTCAAGTTTGTTAGAATTCTGCACCAGATTTATATGGCATCCATAATGTGTTCTTAAGCTGCTGTAAAATTCCATGCAAGCATGACCTAGTGTCCAGAGAAACTTTTATAAATATATTTCTATGTTGAAAAATGTCAAACTGGAAAAAAAAAATGATGTGGTTATCATTAACTGTTTACTGTTAGATTTTCAAGGCCTACTTGTAAAAGTATTTTAGAAGCGAAACAGTGTCACAATAGAATCATGTGGAGGATATTAACAAAATCATTTTGTTAAAAAAAACTTTGTGTAAAGCTGATGAAGACCAGTAAAGCAAGGATTTTTTTTCTTGTTGAACTCCATATACTATTTCCATTTCTATGTTCCTCTGAGTCGCAATAAATCCAAAATAAATGAGAAATAGTTTCAGTGCCTGAAATTCTATAAATATTGCTTGCATTATGGGATTAACAGGAATGGAGGGGGGTCCTTTTAATGCAGTTTGTACATATTATGATATTGTAAGTTAAAAAAAAAACAACAGGAAAAAAACAAAAACAAATCTGCCAGTTCTTATGTTACTTGTTACCCATTTTGGGTGAATTTAATGTGATGTAAACCGTTGTTATATACTAAAAGTATATTCCAAGAATCATTGTTAATATACACTATACATTTGCCTTTTAAAGGGCCAAAATGAAATTGACACAATAAATTGTAAACATTTAGGTCTGCTTTCTTTTCTCATTTGTATTTTTTTAAATATTTAAATAAAAGAAAAAAAATTGCATTAAATCGCAAAATATGGTAAATAAAATACATTGTTTGTGCCAAATACAAATGATGGCAATACAAAACTACAAGCTTTGTGTTAGAAGGGGAATCAACAGTACACAAGACCACAGAAAGAAAAATTACTCTTCAAACTTCAAGAGAACATTGCTGCATTGGGAATTGGATATAATCAATACGCTAATCTACGCAGGCACATGACATATCCTTCTGCCCTTGCATATGTTTAGCATTTTAACAGCATCCAGAAATGTTGGTGTCCGATGAAGGGCCTTTACTTGTTGAGAGGGTTAATAGCCTGGTATGCAATATTTCTTAAACAAAAAAAAAAACTTAAAGGAGTCCTGTTTCAGATACAGATGTCTGTTGAACCTCAAAGAGTAACCTATGACCTCATCTTTAACTTTTTTCTGTGTGTATGAGCCAAATTTAAACATGTGCTGGGTTAACCCCAAAAGTTCTGGCGCAAAAAGAATTGATTTTAGCTTACTCATAAACAGACGTGTCACGTCTTAGTATGTTTCCAGTGATCCTTTAGCTTGAGAACACAGGTTGCTTAAAAATTTGACCAAAATATGCAAGCTCATAAAGTCTCTACTCCAAACACCAATGTATAATAATGAATCACCGTTCAGCTACAGTGAATGAATTACTTTGCAATGATTCTCCAGATGGAGGCCTGTGACCTATACATAAGTACTGTATATATCCCACTTAGTTTTGACTGAAATTATTCTACACTGATCTGTTACATGCATGCAGCCATAGAACATCTGGAGTAGTAGTGTGTGTCTACTTTTGCTTTGAACTCAACCACTGGAATTTCATAATTTACCTATGT